CTCCACTCAAACTCTTAAACATGAGAGGTCAAGACAGGCCATGGGGCATGCTTGTCTCACCAAAATGGGATTAAATTAAATGTCAAAGTTGTACAAGGTGCAGTAGACTTGTCTCCATGAAAAATATAAAAAAACATCCACTTCAGTTTCTATCCTGGGAAACAACTCAACTGTTCATCAATTTACACATTGTCTCTGCAAAATATCACATAATTCTACCATGTTTCACTTAAGTAGGTAAATCTTGTATTAAGAGCTGAGGTAATTTCATGATGAAATACACACACAATTCACAAAATCTCAATCTAATGATTAATTTTTTCTCTCAAGGATCTGTGTTTCTCCAAAAATATCTGTTGACAAAAAATTGTAAGTTGATTATTCTTTCATTGAAGTTTTTAAACTAAGAACAGAAAGCAACTTTTTCCCCAAAAATTCAACTTTTGACAAAAGCATATAATGGTTGAGTTTCCCTAGTAACAAGATTTTTTGTTCTTATTGCATATAATTAAGAATTTTAACCAATCTTAAATGACCTTTTTTGATCATTCGAATTTTGCTGGTAATTCTCTCCTAAATTAGCTAATTAGGGATTAATTATGGACATGTGAGACAAACTGATATTTTTCCAAGTCATTAGAACACATCTACTTTCTATTCATATAAGTATTAGCATTTTCATTTTCATAAATTCAAATAAGGGAACCCATCTTTAAGAGTGGGAAGTTATAAAAGGAATCGCTGTCCCAGACAAATGAACACTGATGATAGTAATATTTTGATCATTGACAAGGGAAACATCAAATAATTTTCAGTTTTTGAACTTTTTGCATATCAATATTCATTATTCACATAGAACAATAAGTTTCACATGGAAAATATTGAAAATAGAAGTCTATTCATATCTAATATTCATTATTTATAGCAATTTCATAAAAAAATTAAAAAGCATGATAAATTGCATTAGTCAGTTTTAGATTAGAATCATGCTGTGGAATATCAGGACATAAAAAATACCCAAAAATCAATATTAATAATAAATCTGCTGACAGTAAAAAAATCGTGATAACGCAACTCTCGAATCAAAGAGCTATTCGATATTTTCGTTACAGGTTGATGATTTTTTTCAATCAAATTAATGCATTATTGATTGATAAATCAAAGAAAAATGTTTTTATGTTTTTTTATTATTATTTAGGATAATAGGAAGTTACTCTTACTTCCTGTAAGTTCGTTTGTTATGAAACATTGTTAGGCCAGAATTAAATATTTTGTTTAATAAAAGAAACTCTCTAAGTGACTATGATTTCTAATTTTCGGTTCCTTGGTCAATATGGATAATTAATGGCATGCAGTTTGCAATAAGGGAAAATTTGCTAGGACAGTATCATTAGCTTTCTCTTCTATTTATAAAACATTAGATTCAATCATCGCAGTATCTGTTAATTGAAAAGTCTGTTCCACAATTCAACATAAGTTATCTATTCCATAAAACTTTTTAGTTAGTACTTTCAAAAGGAATAGCAGTACAACAGGTAAAAATATATGGCTATAGCACAATCCATGTTAAAAAGAGGAAAATGGGGGTCGTGGTGGATTGAAAAATATTTAAAATTGAATAAAACACCTTTCTAAAGTACAATCATCCTTTCAAAGTGAGACATTATCCTATATCTTATATGCTGTGTTGTTAAAAATGACATTTTTCATCGTAAAGTAATACAAGAGAACAGAAAGTAAAAGTACTAAAGTACTAAAGATATGAATGAAACTTGAAGTGTTTTATTACTAACAAGTAGGCCACTAGTAAATACTTATAGTACTATAATATTGTGACTCTATCAAAGGCATTTTGTCATTAATTTTTTCATCTTAATACTTGCTAATGTAGCTCAAAAAATCAAACATTTAGACAAGTCTATACATTTAAGCTCTATCAGCTAGCATAGTAAATATTTAGACATGTATATACATTTAAGCTCTATCAACTAGCATAGAAAATATTTAGACAAGTATATACATTTAAGCTCTATCAACTAGCATAGAAAATATTTAGACAAGTATATACATTTAAGCTCTATCAGCTAGCATAGAAAATATTTAGACAAGTATATACATTTAAGCTCTATCAACTAGCATAGAAAATATTTAGACAAGTATATACATTTAAGCTCTATCAACTAGCATAGCAAATATTTAGACATGTATATACATTTGAGCTCTATCAGCTAGCATAGCAAATATTTAGACAAGTATATACATTTAAGCTCTATCAACTAGCATAGCAAATATTTAGACATGTATATACATTTGAGCTCTATCAGCTAATATTATAAACAATTTTATCCCTTAAAGTTCTAAGCTGGTAAATCCGATAATTCGAAGACTAGATCCCTTAAAGCTCTAGCAATTGGTAAATTTAACTTAATAACTTTAATCTGTTTCCTACATAATCAATCTTATCAAACACAATACAACCTCAATATATAACTAATACTACTCTCTATTATCTTAAAGGCTTAGTTTCAGGGCTGTTGATTTTACTAAATAACTAGCTATGATTGATGTGAGCTACTACCCCCACACTCATTTGGCTAATTATCCACCCACCCCTACCCAAATGCTAACGGCATACCACCTTCAGGGTCTTCGCTTCAGGGCTAATCTGTAGATCTCTAATACAGACAAAAACCTGATCTCTGTTTTAGTGTCTATATAAATTATACCCTCCTACAATTCCCATTTCTCATTTGTACCTCTAATTTCACCTTACCCCTAGTTGCTTACCACCTTCAGAGCCAACGATTGGATGCTTAAGTGCCTATATAAAATATCCTAAGCTCCTGCTCCAAATCTGACTCAGCTGCACCTCTACTGCCACTCCCCACCACCTGACTCTCCCTTAAACCTCTTTACCTCTTTGAACCCTGCCCCACCTACTTAAAACCTTCAGGATAATCTTGATGTCTGCATGAAATATATCCTCCCCTCCCCTCAACTATCTCACCTGTATCAATCCATCCCCACGCTCTCCTATCCATTTCTCGTATTAGCCTGTAAGTCCATGACAAAACCATGTCATCTGCTATGTTGACAATAAAAATAGCTGAAAAATTTGACCATGAAATTCGTCTGCCAAATTAAATGAAATGTGAAAACAATAGAGGTTGTATCTTCATGTCAATATTGACATCCACCATCTTGGTTCAGAAACCAAATAACAACATTGAAACAAATCATTCTGCCTAAAATAACATGGAGTATCATACACAATCTGTTTCAACCCAAAGTCATTTTAAAACTCTCAGTACCGCACAGCAAAGTCATTTTAAAACTCTCAGTACAGCACAGCAAAGTCATTTTAAAACTCTCAGTACCGCACAGCAAAGTCATTTTAAAACTCTCAGTACCGCACAGCAAAGTCATTTTAAAACTCTCAGTACAGCACAGCAAAGTCATTTTAAAACTCTCAGTACAGCACAGCAAAGTCATTCAAAGACTTTTATTAGTAGGGCAGGGTATCCTAACCGTTTTATAGAACACCTGTCACAAATGAAACCGTCATTTTTTTGTGCACCGTATCACTGCAATGTTAGCTCAGCATCTATTTCAGAGATTTCACATAGTTTTGGTATTTCATTGTATTTAGGGTCAATTTATTATTACTATGAGACCCATTTTGTGGGTGTTGCTACTAAGACCCCTTTGTTAGAACACCTGTTTCCACTCTGTCTTTGGCAACATGGAATCTATTTCAGAGAGTCCACATAGTTTTGTCACAACAATCATTGTTGTCATGATTGTTGTCACTGCAATGTCCACTCAGTATCTATTTCAGAGAGTTCACATAGTTTTGATATTCCATTGAAATAAAGATATGTATTTAGTATTGAGCATTAATTATCAGTGGCAGTGGCATCCTCCAGAGACTGGGGGTACAAAAAGAGGACAAATTGATGTAATGGAGGGACTGTCGAGGCTGAAATTCAAAATCTGTGGATGTGTCATAGTCTCTCAAGGAGCGTCTGAAAGTGTTCTCCCAAGAAAATTTCTAGAAAATGGAATTGATTTGGTGCATTTTGACATATATTTAGGGGCGAAACGTATAAAAATCAATTTGTTAAAAATAAGGTGGGGGTATCATTGGGGAAGACCCCCTCCCCCCAACAGTACCCCCACATCCGTACCCCCACATACCAACACATATCTAATAACTACATGTATTTTGGTATCTTTATAACTTCAAATTTCTTTATGTGGTATTTAATCCTTGCCCTGTTTTTTTTATGTCCTTTTTATTGGCAACATTACGTCAATGTTGGTCCTTTGACACGAAAAAGGTGTCAAAATAGGCCAGGTATTTTAAAAGTTGTCAATATTTTTATGGCTAACAGTAAACTGTTGAATTTATCATAGGGGAAATGGAAAATAAATCTCGCAGTAATTTTTTTTTCTCCCTTTTATAAACATTTTTACAGTTATATTTTTTATATTTTTTGGAAATATGTGCAAACTGTCATGTTTTATTTTGTCACTATCTAAATGTCAAATGTCAGCTTACTAATATCAAAATGAGTACCACTCCCATATCTTAATTTTTTCTTACAATTTTTTAAAAATGATATTTTTAAATTCTACGGATTCCATATAAATTATAAGTAAAAAAAGTCTGTCAAAATTTTTTGTACAAAAATATAATCTAAACAATAAACCTAAAAAATATGTAAATTAGTCTATATGCCTCAAATTCTGCGGATTTCATATAAAAAAATTTGTATGCTCACAATGAAAATAAATAAGTATCATTCAAATGAATTGAAAAAAATTATGATCCAACATAGGGAATTGAAAATATATCAATTTCTGAAAATTTATGTAGTAAATGATCAAGATTTATTATCAATAGCACTTTGTTACACAATGTTAAACTGTATTCCATTATCTCTTGGCAATGTCTACCAAATAACCCTTCCACAAAAATATCAAAATTCTAACTTTACCGTCTTTTTAGCCACTTCCCATCCACTGTCATCTTTTAAGTACCCTTTTAAAATGTCGGCTGTTTTTTCTGCTATTTCTCTAAAATCCATTTTTATTAAAACTTTATTTTTCACAACTGTATTGAAAGAGCGACCACAATCAAAGTAGAATATATTCTTGTATTCATTTCATGGCTAGACATAATCTTACCTCTCAACTTTAACCTTTAACAGTTGACCTTTCACACTTCAACTTTGACCTTTTACAAGGTCAGGGGTTGATGTCAAAGTTTAAATGGAGAGATTATTGAATCTTGTATAAAAACAGTTGTACTATGGTTTGGTTGTTCGACGAAGATCAAAAAACTTTCCTTGGTGTTTCAAAAAAATAGTCTAAAAATGGCTAAAAAAAGAAACTTTTATCTTTGCCTTGACATTCTTCAAAAACTTTCAAAAAATTCATTAAATTGAGATTTTTAAAGACCTGCTCCCATCCCAAACTTCCATTTTCTTGTTTACAGCGAAACTGACGTAACTTAGCAGGACATATTTTGCTGTTTTCTTCCAATCGTTTCCGATTTCAATCTTTGTCAGTGGTAATATTTTGTAAAAATGAGAGGTGATGATGCATACGACGATTTTTGGTCGTCCTACCGTCGTCCGTTTGGACACAGAAGTCGTTTTCAGTAAGTCACTAAATTACTTTCGTAGTTGAAAAAAGGTTGGTTGGTATGTAATGCCATTTGCCTGTATTGTATTCTGGTTAGCTCAGTGTTCTAAAGACTGCTTATGTTCAGAGATTTGAATTTTTAATGGCCAAAATTAAATCTGTTTTCTTTATCTCAACTCTAATGTGATTTTCTTTATAATTAATCATAATTTTACTGAGTTAGCAAAGATGGTAAATTGTCTACACTCATGGGGGTATTTCACATCAACCGTTATTTATCTGGAAATTTCTATTATTCGGTGCCTTTTGTGTTTCTTTCTTTATAATGTCTAATTGTTATGGGCCTGACATTATGAATAGCTCATATTAATATTTGTTTGTGAATAAAACAAAAGACCCAACAATTAGTTAGTGAGTAATAAATTTGCATTACAATACATAGCAAGTTTCTAGGATAGGCCTACACTTCAAATATAAATGCAAAGTAAAGAGAAGTTTTAATGATATATAATGATTGATATTCTAAAAGTAGATAGTAGTCCTATCTAATAAATTTGCCACAGCAAGTGCTTGCTTGGCTGTGCATAGCTAACAACCTCTGTCATCTGTTGTAGCACACTTTTATTCCATAAATTTGCTTGTGGTAGACCAAAAGTCGAGTCATGGTACTTAATCATACTTGCAGAGAAAATTCTAAACATAAACAACCAGCAATCCACTACATTTATAGGTAGTCTAATTAGTTTTGAAAGCAATATAAGACTTGCATTTGCCAAAAGTTTTCTAACTGCCTATACACCAGCAAAGTCCCAGTGATAGATAATAACTGTATAAATTGATGTGATTAAAGGATTAGTGAAAACAGTTAGTATATCCTGTGATTAATTGATAATAAGATAATATTAGAAGGTTAATAGTCATTGATAGCTTGTTAACATTATAAATCACAGGCATTTGGTATTGAGAGGATTCTATATAGATTAGTATTAATAGCCTTAGCATGCAGTATTTTATGACTGATTAAAAAGCCTGGGGTGAATTGTAAATGTTATTTTGATAACCTAAGAAATTCAGGCCCTAGAATTTCCCAAAAAACTTGCCATAGCCGTAAAAATTATCTGGTCTGTGATAGGTACTAGCAAAACTTCATTTTTTGGGCCTAGTCAAATTTTTTATTTTTCATCCATCAAATTGAATCAAATTCATCCCAAATTTTTGTCCACAAAAAAAGGTAGGGCCTACTGAAATATTTTCAGTTTTTTTTCTGACCAATGTCAAATACAAACCTTTGAATTGTCAGCTAGGAAATCTATTACAGAATTTCGGTATCCCAGCAAATATATTTGCCACCTCTGGGGGAGTGGAAATCTGTTGCATACCTCTTCCCTACCTGTGGAAATTTCAGGCTTAAAATCCATCTGGTTTCAATCTACTGTATTCTATTTGATTTGCAGTGATGGCCACACGGATGATGTGTTTGGAAATGTACAAGAAGAGATGAGAAGAAGCATGGAAGATATGAACAGACAAATGGAGGATGCTTTCCGAAATTTTGGAAGTGGGAGAGGTTTTAATTCCCATTTCGGTGAGCTTCTTTTATTCTTTCATTTATAACAGTAGGGATCATAAAGAAGTTTTCTAAAATTTTTATATGTATCGGGGACACTGATAGCATCAATTTCCACCATTCAAAGTTTCTATCAGGCATCTGTTGGTCTTGTACCTTCACCGAAACAACGTATAACACAGCTAGTTTAAAAGTAAGTCGTAATATATTACTAGCAGGTTTTTACACATTAATCAAACTATACAGCTGATTAAGGTCAACTTGACATCCCTTGCAGAGAATCCAACTGTTCATTAAAAGGACAGATGTGCCAATTTGTGCGTTTGATTTTATTCTTGAAAGTATGTAGTCTTCAGAAGTAAAAGTAATGTACGAAAATCGCATAATTTCTTTTAAAATACTTCAAACTAGGAATTTTACTCACTTTTTCTATAGATGTCTTTTTTCTAAATATCACAGAGTATTTTAAATTGACGAATCGGCATTTTAACATTCAAACGCAGATAATTCTGAACACACATGGATTTGAAGGGTCAAATTTGGACGGTGAACTGTGAACACTGTTACTGATCGGCTTAGCAAAAAATTCCCATTTCTGTGACTAAAGTATGATTGGTCGAAAAAAAGGGCTCACCTGTCCCTTTAAAAGGGTTTAAAAGGTTTATATTGGTGACCTATGTAACATCTATTGGGCTTGGATGGTGCAAATAAAAGCTAAAAGTATTGTAAACGGTTAACACTTTTTTGAACACTGTTTTAACAGACATGACTGTCCTATTCATCTTAATATAATTCTGAAAAGTCTACTTAACTAAAGATGTGTACAAATGTATTTGGTTTGTCAACCTGACATTCCTTTTCGGAGAGCCATATAGCTCATACATAGTGTTAATAATTGGATATATTTATTATAGACAATGATCGAAGACTGTCAGCATTAGATGATGGGTTTTCATCTCACAGTCCAGGGGACGCCATGTTGAAATATGATAGAAGATTTGATGTGCCAGCTATCCCTGATCATAGACCCAGAAGATCATTGGTAGGTTTTAAACACTAGTTTCTATCACAATCTGATTCAAATGAATATCTCTATGTTTAGTTTCTTGTTTATTGTGTGGGTAAATCAATGGTAAATTAAGTAATTTAGAAAGAAAGAAACAAGTATATTTTACAAGGATAACAACTTAGGTTCTACCAGCTGGTCCTTGGTCTAAACCTCTTGGCACTCTTAAATTGGTTACAATGAACATCATTAGAATGAGACCGTTGAAGACGAGTTTTTTGTATAGGACCCAAAAATGTCTTTTCAATATCTAATTGTTTCTTTGCAACTAATTTACAGTTTAACGGAATGTTCAACAGTCCATCCCGCTGGGAGAGAGATTTTAATGTACCATCAGGTGAGAGTGGAACTTATTCTTGTGGAAAATCGTACACCATGTTCAGCATCTCTGATGGAAATAATGTAAGTTTATGTAAATAGGTTAAAATGGGCAATAAATGACAAATGGTTTGGTTCAAATCCCCAAGCTATATTACTCCAAAAAAGACAAAAAAAGCCTGTAGATTTAGTGTTTACTTAGTTGTTGGAACATATTCAGTGGCACGATCGTTAGTGTAGGGTCTGCAGAAACATTGAAGGGGTCTAACAGGCAATTATTCCTCTATGTAAAATGATACAGAATTTTAAAGGGGGAAGGACGGCTGTAGACCAGTTTTACAATAATACAAATTATCACAACCCGGTTCTTAGTTAAAGGGAGATAACTACATTTATGTAATTAAACTACAGAACACAAAAAATTAAGTTACCATAATTCTTTCTTAATAGAAAAAGTTTGAAGAAAGAAGAACAATTCGTAACCCAGATGGGACTGAAGAGGAAGAGGTAGTGAGAAATCTAAATGATAGATCCCATGTTACACGGACTACAACTGATAAATACGGTAGAAGAGAAACCAATGAAAGGTTAAATAATCTTGATGATGGTAAGAATTGGATATCATTTTTTTTCTCTGGAAATTGCAAAAGAAGTAGCTAAAGAAATTAAGTTTTCCTTTTCTGTGCCTAATTGAGAGAATGAACACGAGCATGTGCATAAGGGAAAATATTGCAAGTAGAGTAGCTTATTGAGGGATTTTTATTGGGCACAGTCTTTCGAACTCAAAAAAGTTACAAATGCTTAAACAGTTAATTAACCATCTATTTTGGCTATCTTTATAAGTTTTCAAATGGAAGTGCCCATCACTACTTGCTTGTTAAGTCATAAAAAATCTAGCAGTTATGTCAAAATCCCTGGCAAAAGTTACTTTCCTTACAATTCCTTACAAAAGCTATCCTGCTGAGGATGTAATATAAGAAACACATGTTGGCAACAAGAGATAAGCTCTAGCCAATGATACCAGATAATAAATTATTTGGGTTCTTTTTCACAGTTGACTTGATGCAATTTCAAAGAGAATGGAACGAAACCAACAGACAACCATATACATTAGAAGATGTTCGCGGTGACGAACTTGTGCCAAGGACTGGTCGGCGCTCAATCCTAGATCGTTGGTTCCGTTAGTAAAGAAGAATGGTAAAGGCAGACTCTGTGATATTAGTTAGATTAAACCCTCTCTATTGAGATCTTATTTATATAATATATGTAGAGATATGTATTTAGCTATCAAGTGGTTTAGGGTTGTCAATTGAGAAATCTTATGATATATAAGTTTGAAAATTTAGACTTGCTGTAAACTTTTATCACGTTTTAAGTGACAAAAACCACAGTTCCTCAAAAATTCCTAAATTCAAAATCTCAAGCGGGTAAATTAATGTTTAGAATTAAACTGAGATGAATTTTGAATGTAAGATTTGATATTAATTGGGTCCAGATTTCCATTTTTTCTTTATCTGCATCATACCGAAGCATCATTTCAATGCCTTTTTTGTTTGTAGAAAACTAGAACTCTCAAAATTAGTCTGATAAGATCCATTGCCTTATTTTCAGTATTCTTAATCTTAATGATTTCACAACAACATTTTGTTCAGCTATGTAAAAGCCTTTAATTCTTGAGCTGCAAATAGAATAGGTCTAGTGTGGGAAAATCTTAACATTTGAAGTCAACACACAAGGACACAGTGAGAACATGATTTGCTGGTACTACTGTATCAATAATCTTGTATCGGACACTATACCTTTGCGGGGTTTACTGATTTGACACGTCTTGTAAGCAAAGAACAAAACAACGGAAGACCACTAAACATATAGCCTTTATCATCCAGTCTTACTTTTAATATTGCACAGGTGCTACGAAAGATATGTTGATGTTGTAGACAGAAGACTGCACGTCAGAGACTTCTATTCATATTGCTGATTACTGTGCAGGACAGGTTTTTAAAATCTTGGTCTACATTTGTTGTTGAAAGGGAAGTAACTGCATTTTTCAACTTTACTACAGCCCATATTTATCAATTAACTTATGAATGAATAGGATGCGTCTAAATATTTGCTATCAAACAGAAGAGTAATGATTTTGTTAAAGTATAAGAGCGAAAAGATCTTAATTATAAGTATTGATGTTGGTGCCGTGGCGTCTGCAAAACTTTGGATCAAGAGGGGCTACTCTCAAATTCTTTTTTGAATATAAAGGGCTCAAATCCCGCAAATCATACATTTTCCATCTGTCAAGTGACCATGATTGAGTTCTCTTTCCTTTCTTCCATTTTGCCTTTTACTCTATTTTTTCATCCATTTTTTCCAATTTTGGAGCCTTTGGAACCCCCCTTCCCCTCTTCTCTCACCCTTTTAGAGCCGCCACTGTGTTGGGTTTAAATTGGAATCGAGAAGTTGGTAAAGCAAATATTTAGACGACTGTACTGTGTATCCCTTTCTCAGAGACAGTATTGTTTTGTTTTTGATTAGTATAATTCTTATCAATAAAAATTTACAGTATTTTATTTTATCAAGTGTATTTATTATTGAAAATACATCTTTTTATGACAATGTTTATTCTTGGGGCAAATAAATGAAATGAATGTGTACTGTTGCGGCCAAATGACAACGATTAAGCGGTTGATTGGCTGGTTTGAAAATCATATGACATAGATACATATTATATACCTCAAGTCTTCGAAGTTTACCCTATCGATATTTGCGATATCAGCATCCGCTGGAAGCGAACGTTAACTTGTCATCTACCTACCTACCTCGTTTACCCTAGAAATTGTCATCTACCAACAAATACCTTGTCTTCAATATAAGCTTACAAACATCGTAATCTAATCTATACGAAGCACACCTGTTGAAGAGGTGATGTTGCAAGTGTTTTAGACCCCAGAAGGCACAAGACCTAAAGTTTTATTATATACCCATTCACCAAGACATCTTAATGTTAAAGCATCGTAGTCTATCCTTAATTTGTTGGCAAACATTTCAGGTCGTTTGACCAGGGTCGGTAGATCTCGGATACCAAATATACAATAAGCTCTATATCTCCTCCCGTAGCATTCTGATGGTGTCCAAGATACGTATACAGCAAGGAATGGTTTCATTTCATCACCAACTACAAAACAGAAAACATAAAGCAATGACAAAAAAAAAATGCTCTTATCGGGTTTTGGGGGGCAGAGCGAAAATGACAGGTGTCTCTTCAAAGACCACAACACAATTAAACAGTATGCTCTATACGGCAGCTATCAGAAAAAAATAAATGGACGAAAAGCACAGACATTTTGTGTTTTTTTTAGAATAAAAACGCGAGTATTTCAAAGGACACATAAACAAAATTTTGCGATGATAAACAACGTTTTTATACGCCCACATGTAAATGTGGACGTATATTGCCGTCGCCCCTGTCCGCCCGCCCGTCCGTCCGTCCGTCCACATTTGTTGTATGTACGATAGAGGCTACAGTTTGTATCTGATCTTGATGAAACTTGGTATGCATGTATATATTGATGAGATCTCGGTCAGGTTTGAATTTGGTCATAATCAGATGAACGGTTTTGGAGTTATTGCCCTTGACTTAGTAAAAACGCATTAAATTTGGCTTGTATGCATGCTTAAGGCTGCAATTTTTATCCGATCTTGATGAAACTTAGTATGCATGTATATATTGATGAGATCTTGGTCAAGTTTAAAATTGGTAATAATCGGATATACGGTTTCAGAGTTATTGCCCTTGACTAAGTAAAAACGCGTTAAATTTGGCTTGTATGCACGATAAAGGCTACAGTTTTTATCTGATCTTGATGAAACTTGGTATGCATGTATATATCGATGATATCTCGGTCAAGTTCGAAATTGGTAAAAATCGGAATAAACGTTTCAGAGTTATTGCCTTAGTTAAAACGCGTTAAATTTGGCTTGTATGCACGATAAAGGCTGCAATTTTTATCCAATCTTGATCTCAACAATAGATATAGACAAGATCTCAGTCTAGTTGAAATTGGTAACGATCAGGTGAACGGTTTTAGAGTTATTGTCCTTGAATTAATTCAATGCGCCTAATTTAGCTTGTAGGCCTGATAGAGACTACATTTTTTATACGATCTTGATGAAACTTGGTATGAGATCCAAGTAAAGCTTGAAATTAGTAACAAACGGATGATTGGTTTCACATATTACAGACTACAGACTACAGACTACAGACTTTGTTATCATTTCTGACAGCTGGTAGTGGGCGTATGTTACCTTGCCTGGCAAGTTATCTTTAAATTTCTGCATTACGTTAAATATGCTGTGATGTTGAAAAAGACAATAGCGAGTTATTATAACTAAACCAAGTACCCACGATTCAAACTGCGAAACGAAATCCAAAATCCATAACATTTTGGCGAAACATTGGTAGCAGCTAATGAGCTTTCACATGAGGAAGTATTTCTATCATAAGAAATTTCATTTCATTTCAATTTCATAATGAAAAGTGGTATCACGTAATATAATGTTCTTTGTGTGATATATGACGTAATAAATCCTCCTTAAATAGTGCTTAAACGTCTTTCAAGGCCTTAAATGTAGATTACTATAAAGTTTATGACAAGTATGGAGCAAATTGATCAACACAAGTCCAAAGTAATAGTTAAGAATGTGAACTAAACTAAACTAAACTAAACTATTTTACTGATAAGGAGGTCTAGATTTTACTGATAAGGAGGGCTAGATTTTACTGATAAGGAGGTCTAGATTTAATAACGATTGTCGAGTGTATACGTACCTGAATTACTTCCTGGAGCATGTAACTTTAAATTATAGTTTAAAGTTGCCCAGTAGTATTCGTCTGGGGAATACACGTCACGGCACCATTTCAGTATGTCACGTGCTTTCTTATTATTTATAACGTAATCCACAAATTGGCGGGAAAATATACCATACGCACTACCTTTATAAATAGTAACATTGTAGGGTGGTGGAGGGGTTTTCTCGTCAGTACGACTCACTCGCCGACGACCCGGGTGTCCGGAATCTGGTACAACAATGAATTTTGTTTTGAAGCGATTTTCAAATACTTTTTCTCCTTTGTCGATATTATTTAAGTGTTTCAAATTTTTCAAAATAGCGACGATTTCTGCGTTAGTTTTTAGCGGGAATTGTTGTCCGGGGATGTTGAGTAGATATTTCCAGGGTTTGCCCTGGTTTAAATGATCCTTCATACAGTTAAGATCAGCCTGAAGACGAGAGAAGCCCGCATACGTCACATTTTCAGTTTTTGATACTATAAATACATTCTCGAAACAATCGGCTAATTTCTGAACTGACTCGTGATAGCTGGGAGGGGAAAATCCATCCACATGGACACAATAATAGTTCTGTGGTCTGTATATAGCTCTGAGTAAAAATTCCGCTTGGATGAAATCTGTATGGAGTAAAATATTATAAGCGATGGGAAAGTTGCGTTCTTCTTCACTTATTGAATAGTCATCATATCCGTAAACTTTTCGAAATTCTGAACAATTCAAATTTTGAATTGATGGCATATACCGTACTTTCGCTTTTACTGCCCTTATAGTTTCGTTCTTGTTTCCATGAATAAAAGCAGAACAGTTCCAGTCGGTTACTCGGAATGAGTGATTTACAGAGGTCCTGGCTTGAGAATGTATTCCAGCTAGGCCGATATCTAATACGGTCCATGATTTTATCTTGGAGCTTCTAAAATCAACAAATGAATAAATTGCGAACCCAATAAACCCAAGGGTAATAAATATCGTCCGAAAAAAGAACTTTTTAATCGCAGATAACATGTTGTCTTTTTCCAATTCCTACTATCAGATTTGAATAATTGTTTGGTAGAGTTGAACAAAGTTTAAAATTCTTAATGTGATTTTGTCGAAACGTTGTTGGTATCAAATAATTCAACGTAGCACAATAATCATATACCGGTATTCATTATTTATTTTATTTATCATAGCCAGTCTAGACAGTTTTTCAACTTTTAATAGTTATCTTTGAGTATCCGTTCTATATATTTCAGGTTTTCCATATTAAATTATTATAAGTGAAGCTCCAATGTAATCCACGGACCAGCTGGTAAACAAACTCCTCGTTAATCTCAATTGTTTTCCTTGTTAAATATGATTCTTTCTTTATTTTTTGAAATAATAAAAAATTGAAATATTACATAGAATTAACAGTTCGTCAAGATTCTACCAACACAATATTTCACATCAATAAATTTAATTTGTTTAAAATAATGACTATTTGACAAAACATTATACTGACGTTAAATCATCTATTAGGTCCAATTGTTTGATCTATTAAATGTTCTATGATACGCTGTAGCCCAACTGGAAAATACATCGATTCTAAAACTATGTGAATATGCATTTCCTTTTATCACTAGTAACAGCTGGGTACATGGATTAGGCCTGCACCGTTTTTACAAGACGTTTGCATCAATACGTTTCAAGGTCCTTTAAAGAAAACTACCTCTTAGGATGACCAAAAATTATTTAACTTGTTCAAAATTAGTAAATATTTTTGATTGGCTTTAACTGTACAACAGAATCTCTGT